AAATAATGAAGAATCTGCATAAATGCATGCATGTTTCTTGCACTGTGATAAAACAATGGTACCTAGAGCCACTCAATTTTCAATGACGTAATCCTACTGCGAATATGGGCATCTGAAAGGCAAATTTGAAATTTGTTTTATTATCAATTTCATATTTTGCAAAACTTTTACAAATTTTTGATTAAAAAACTCAACGATTTAAAAACGAGCAACAGCAACACTCTACAGGGGGGGAAACCTTTTTATCTCCAGAGCACAGAACTGTGTATCGAAAATTCTAAAGATATGCTAATTTTGAAATTATTTTGTGACATTGCTGTTGAACTGAATTTTATGGTTTAAGTGCAAAGAACATGATATTTAATAAATAAAGGTAACACACAAGATGTTAAAAAAAAAGCCCCTTTGGACGTATGCAATTCTGGGATGTTTTTTTAAGTTAAAATAGGTCGATGTGTACATGCATACTGTGTATGTGCAATTCTTAAAAACGCAGCAAGCAGTTTGCGATTCTGCACTTTCTCCCAATTTCGCACCTAATCTTCATCATGATTAAGCACTTTTGTTCCATAAAAGTTCTAGCACACGTAATTCGGCTAGCAGATTGTTGGAAAAAAAATGTTCAGTTAAAAAAAAAAAAATGCCTTTACTTCGTGAAAACAAAATGGTGTCCAAACAAAAACTAGCAGGTTGCTGTAGCAGGGTTGGTCGCCAAATTTTCGCCAAAAAATCACCAAGTTACCATAATCCAAAGATTAATCATTTTTTGTCTACATTTCGAACTTTAAGTCTAAAATTACGGTTGATCTTTACATTATGGTAACTTGGCGTTTTTTTCGCGAAAATTTGCCGACCAACTCTCCTACAGCAACCCTCTATTTTTTTTTTCCCGACGCCATTTTGTCTTCACGAAGTAAAGACATGTTTCTTTTCTTTTTATCTACTGAAAACTTTTTCCAACAATCTACTAGCCGAATTACACTTATGCTAGAAATTTTATCTAACAAAACTGCTTAATCATGACAAATATTCACTACAAAATTGGGAAAAAGTGCTCAATACCATATCCTTACGCGTTTTTCAAAATAAACACATACACATAAACCATGTACACGCCAACTTATTTTTACTTAAAAAAATCCCAGAATTACACCAAAAATGGCATTGCGCACACTCTTCACTATATCCATGTACACTGCTTTTTTCTCATAAATTACAAAAATTTCACGAAAATACATGACAATTTTCTGAATCTTTAAACCCGGTAAACAGAACACATATGAAATTACCTGATTGCAAAAAAGTTTATACCCTTTCCAAATATGAACATTTCCACATATAAAATAAATAAAATATCCAAAAACTTTTACCTCTAAATCATCTATTATATTATACACGTCACCAACGAATTCATACCACAAGCATTACAAATACTTAGTGTCAAATATTTAAATTATTTCCATGCAGGTTTACTTCAACTTAAAGGTATACCAAATTCCTACAAACATAAAATTCACAAAATAACTATCATTTAATTAAAATATCACTAAACATGTACACGTCGACTTACTTTTACTTAAAAAAACATCCCAGAATTGCACAAAAAATGGCATTGCGCACACTCTTCACTATATCCATGTTACACTGCTTTTTCTCATAAATTAGAAAAATTTCACAAAAATACATGACAATTTTCTGAATCTTTAAACCCGGTAAAAAGAAATATATGAAATACCTGATCGCGAAAAAGTACATACCTTTTCCAAATATGAACATTTCCACATATAAAATAAATAAAATATCCAAAAACTTTTACCTCTAAATCATCTATTATATTATACACGTCACCAACGAATTCATACCGCAAGCATTACAAATACTTAGTGTCAAATATTTAAATTATTTCCATGCAGGTTTACTTCAACTTAAAGGTATACCAAATTCCTACAAACATAAAATTCACAAAATAACTATCATTTAATTAAAATATCACTAAACCATGTACACGTCGACTTATTTTTACTTAAAAAAACATCCAGAATGCACAAAAATGGCATTGCGCACACTCTTCTCTATATCCATGTACACTGCTTTTTTCATAAATTAGAAAATTTCACGAAAATGCATAAACAATTTTCTGAATCTTTAAACCCGGTAAAAAGAACATATATGAAATTACCTGATCGCGAAAAAGTACATACCCTTTCCAAATATGAACATTTCCCCGTATAAAATAAATAAAATATCCTAAAACTTTTACCTCTACATTATCTATTATATTACAAACGTCACTAACTAATTCATACCTTTACTTCATTACAAATGGTTACAAATACTTAGTGTCAAATATTTAAATTATTTCCATGCACGTTTACGCAAATTACTTTCCTTCCACCTTACATTTAGAACAATGCATAAAAATAATATCTTCAAATAATTAAAAATACTAACTTACCTATTCTTCTTCAGAATCTTAATTATGTGTCCGATAAACTTTTCTTATTTCTATTTCAGGATCTTTAAAATCATACTTATAGTTCCACCAAGGTACCAAGTAAAATAAAATAAATAACTTAAAACATCTTACTTCTATCTCGCACAATCTTAAAGAAACACTTATTACCCCTTTCAATCCCACTAAATACCCATTTCGAATTCACTTTAGTTAGGGCCATGGGATCCAAAAATTAACGAACACAGTTTCACACAACACAGAATAAAGGCAAATACAAAATTTCCAGATTTTTTCCCGATTTCCCCCCTTTTTCGATTAAAGAACCGTAATTCGTCCATTAATATCACATGACATATCACATGATCTCTCATTTCCCTCGCACAAAATAATGCGTAATCGGAACTGAGTACTGCTCACATTATTACCAAAGTCCCAGGTAGTAACCTTTATCGCCTCCAAAATGTCGCCAAACTACCAGTTACCATATTGTAAAGATCAGCCAAAATTACTCTAAAAATGTGGTTTTCACACATGCAAAAACCACGTTTTGAACACACAATTTAAGCTAAAAATCTGAAACACAAACAAAAAATTTAGATAGCTAAAACATAAAGTTTCTAACCAAAAATATTTGAGAAGAACCCATGTATACAGAGATGTGTTTTAACTTAAAAAAATCTATGAATTGCATAATCTAGGCAGTGAAGGAATCCACGAACCATGCACACCTCACTTTTAATAAATTAACATAACAATAAATTTCAAAGAATGCCATATACACAGCATTCTGTTTAAACTTGAAAAAACATCTACAAATTGCACAATCTAGGCATTGTGCACAAATCCACAAAATAAATTACAAAAAATTCAAAAAAAAACAATAGCAACAGAAATTCATACTAAAAAAAACAATGAACATATCATTCTTAACATATTTAATCATAACATTTTTACTCTTATTTTCTTGAATTTATGTGGTGACACCGATATACGGATTCGAGTTCAGATAATTTTAGGAAGTTTTTGGATGCTGTTAAGGAATTTTGTGTGCCACAGACTGAAGATGAAGGAATGTCTAAATAAGGTAAGTGGATATTTGCTTTGTGCAGTGCTTAAATGCATAAGAGGTTTTTCTTTTCCTTTTTTATGTTATTTTATTGTTTGATTTAAAATGTAGTTTATTGAGATTACGTATTTTTTGTTTGCCTCTACTGTAGAATTGGTTGCTCCTTTGACTTTTTAAGTGAAAATAGGTCGACATGTTCATGGATAAGGTCAAGGGAGTGCACAATGCAAGTTTGTGCAATTCTGAGTTTTTTAAGTGAAAATAGGTCGATGTGTACATGGATACCGAGTTTGTTCAATTCTCTCTTTTGTTATTTTAACCACTACACAAGTCAAAGAAGTGCATAAACTCGATATCCATGTGCTGCCAAAAAGTCGCCAATTTTCAGCAAGGGGTACCCGTAAATATACTTTTACCCGATGATCTTTCTGAGACACATCACTGCAGACAACTTCCTTAATTGAACGAAATTAACTCATTGTTTAATCAATTCAAAAAAGATAGCACGGAAATCAGACAAAATAACAGTAAATAAGTGAAGAATTTATTACAGACCGAGAGGCAAACAACAAGTGCGGTGCTAAAACATGCAAAATTATAAACAGCAATGTAAGAAACAAAAACAACATAAGAGGAATAATTGCTAACTCCAAACATGTGATTCCATTGCACTACCAGGTTTGAACTATTATCGCTATTGCTGGCAGTGTTTACATTTATCGGGTTATTTGCAGAAGTGTTCACATTTTGATAAATATTTAGGCAGTGAAATTTGAAATTGAGTTAGTTTTTGAAATTAACAACTAATCTGGACCACTAGCTGTATTCGTCATGCATACAGTCCGTATGCAATCTGAGTTTCACACCACCGTTTTTGATTACACATTACGTTAAAATTATAGTATTCGGTACGGCCTTGGCGTGTTTTTAAAAAATGTCGCCAACACCAAAATGACATGTTTACCGCTCATCATATTATCACCATGTCCCGTGTGTTCTGTACACTAAGATTACACCCGGATTAGAATGAAACGTAAGTAAAAAATGGTTAAAGTGCACAATCGCCCACTTATTTGTTTGGCGCTTTTTACAAGAGAAATTGGATTTTTGTCAATTTTCTTTGACTTTTTAAGTGAAAAGGTGTGTGTACCTGGATAAGTCAAGGGAGTACACAATGCCATTTTTGTGCAATTCTTGGATGTATTTCAAATGAAAATAGGTAGATGTGTACATGGTCACCGAGTTTGTGCAATTCTTAAAAACGCGCCAAACAGTGGGTGATTCTGCACTTTCCCCTAAAAAATAGCCTATCTTTCAAATCTGACCTATTATTTATACGTCTGAGTAATCAAAACATAATGCACTAATAGCACTACCACCTGCCACTCGAAGAGTTTGAGACTACTGTCTTAGATTACTGATTAAAATGAAACATGAGTTCAAAAAAAAATTACCTTTCAAATTAAACTTATTACTTACCTATATAAGACACAGCAACAAAAATAGAAGTATAATGAACTAATTACACTACCAATGCAACGAGTTCTACATTCTCAATACAACAGTATGTATTGATTCTCACTGCAAATATATTAAACATTTGTGGATTTCGCGTCTTTTTGCCAGTTGGTCGAAAAGTGATACAACTATGAGTTGAAAAGATAAGTGCAAAAGTTTTTTCTTTGTGTTAAAAAAAAGTTTCTTCTGACTAATCAAATAAATTCTCAAAATTAATAAAAAAATTCATATTTATATGACATAATCGAGAAGGCAACCCATACTCTCCTATGAAACCAGGAAATTTTCGCACCTAAACTTGATTTTTCTGTGCAGAAAGACTTAGCGGGTGCAAAACAAGACACCTTTGTCTGTCTGTCTAATGTGTGTCAATATTTAAAAAAATGATCCAACGCAAAAAACAAAAATAATCTACATTGCTTGGAATTTCGATATTTATAATTATTTTGAAACATTTCTAATTTCTACTAAAATTTTATGAAAATACAATTTATTTACTTAGAATCGTGTATTTTTAGTTCTTATTATTATCGGAGGTGAGTTAAAATATTAATATCAAAAAATATAATATTAATATCATTATTAATATCAAAAAATGGTCTATTTTTTTGTAAACAAACTTTTCTTAATTTACAAGTTGCATGTAATGTAAATAATATTTATAAGAATATAAATCAGATTTTAAAGTAAAAGGTGTATGTTGTGTATACCCATTCTTTCTGTTAAAATATTTTACTATTAATTTATGTATAAAATAGTCTTATGTAGATTATTTGTTTGAAACAAATTTTTATAGTCAAAATAATATGTTTCGCATCTTTCTTAGAGGAGGAAATAATGCATCTGAAGATGTCTTTCGTATTTTTCAGAGTAACATTTTTGCAAAGATTGTAGCATTATTAAAATTGTATAGCATCAAAACAAGTTACTGTAATTGTAGCCTTCTCTATTTGCCATTGAAATTTTTGCTGATTTCATGTAGTGTGCATATAATCTAAAAGAAGTATTGTTTATGCTTT